TGACTTTAAGTTCTTTAGTCAGTCTCTGATATACCTGGATATTTTGATCACACATCCATACTGCCAATATTTAGTTCACATCTGGGCCTCTGTGCTTATTTAGTTCTATTCTCTGTACACAACTGGAATCCTAAATATAGTCCTTGTCTGTCTGTGGGTGTCATGCTCTGTAGCTACAAAAATCATGCTTTACCATAGTAACCCTTTCTTCTACTCCTGAATTGTGTAAGCACTTGGAAGGATCTACATATAAAAATGCCCAAATTTCATGTACTGTGTCAAAACATGTATATCTATTTGTAGAGAAAGATCTGAATGAAACTGTATGGGTATTTGGGAGGGGTACATAAAGAAACATGCTGCCTAATAACTAAATATTTAGATTATATGCATCCAACAAGTTATATACCAAACAAAATAATAAAGGAAAATAATACAATACTTTTAAATAAACACAGTATTTCCAAGATATATATGCTGAATACACATTATGACACCTCCAGCATGCCATACTTCTACATGTATCTTTGCCTGAGATGCATTTAGTATACCTGAAAGTTATTATTAATTAGCCTCCATTAGCACTAAATTTCTTCCAGTATCACACAGTAAATTCCTGTTACAAACTCCACTGATGTTACCTTTAATGACAGACCCACCATCTTCTCCAACATATTGAAAAGTTGCCTTTTTTTTTTCCAGTTTCTCCCCTCTCCCACCAATTTCACACTTCCATGTCTCCTTTCCTTAAATAACCATAAAATTTTCCTAAGAATGTTGACTAAACTTCTTGACACTCCTGACTGGCTACTGAAGAGCAGTAGTCTTGTTCCTACACACTCCACTTGTGTAGCAGTTGTGATATTGATCTAACAGTCCACCAAAACACAGCTTTCAACGCTTACAATAATTGAGCAAAACACATCCATTCTGAAATTATTAATACTATCACAGAGAGATTAATTTCCTTTTGATGTTCTTCTATCAGGAACTCTACTTTGATTCATTGATGTCACAGAACAAATTAGTGCCATACATAGTCAAGCAGTATGATATTAAAATCGGACATTATTCTGCTGCTGATATCAGACAATAAAGTAGCAGATGGTTTTTTGTTTTTTTTTTTTTTTTTTTTAGGAATGACTTTCATGTCAAAGTAAAAGGCTGCACAAACCAAAATTATCTTATTTTCTGGAAGTTGCTCTTGTTTGGTTGCATATCTGGTTCTAAATCTTCACTGCATGAAAAGACTACATTCTACAATAAAAGGTCAAACATTCAATGGAATACAGAAAACAGGAGACTTCATAACCTTTACATTTTGGCTCTTCGGCTTCCAACTGGCAACAAAACAAAATGGCAAAAAACAAATGACCAACACGTATCTAATTCTGGAGAAAACATTTGGCAAACATTCAATTTTAATAACATTGTATTTTTATTTACAAAATTTACTTATAACACATACAGAACTTGTTCTGAGAGGAATTACCCCTCCATAATTAAATAAAAGTAATGATTCTGGTGCTATCATCAAAATCGGGTGTCCTGGGTTCAGCAGTAGCAGTCATTTTTTCTCCTTCTTAGTAGCTGGGGCAGTGCTGTGTTTTTGACTTTCAGCCTGGGAACAGCGCTGATAACACCGATGGTTTTAGTTACTGGTCAGAATGTTTACTCTGACCAAGGACTTTCTGAGTCTCATGCTCTGCCAGTGAGGAGGGGAAGCCGGGAGGAAGCAGAGACAGGACACCTGACCCAAACTGACCAAAGAGGTATTCCATACCACAGCACGTCATGTCCAGGATGTAAACTGAGAATTACTCAGAAGGGCTAGTGCCCTGCTGGGTAGGGCTAGGTATCGGTCAGCGGGTGGTATTGTATTCTCTTCCTTTGTTATTTCCTTTATCATTATTATTATTGGTGGCAGCAGTAGTGGTTTTGTGTTATACCTCAGTTACTGGACTGTTCTTATCTCAACCCATGGGAGTTACATTCTTTCAATTCTCCTCCCCATCCCTCCAGGAGCAGGGGGAAGAAAGAGCAGGGGAGGGAGAAGACTGCATGGTTCTTATTTATTGGGCTTAAACCACGACATTGGGTTTGTAAGATCATAGAATGGTCAGGGTTTTGGAAAGAACCCTAAAGATCATCTAGCTCGAACCCTTGAAAATTAGTGTTCCAATGTTTTTGTTTTCTACACTAAAACCTGAATTTTATGATTTTGTCATGTGTTTCAATGGGAGGTAAATGCAACCCAGTGCCTTCCTTCAAATGTGTCTTCTTGTGATCCTACAAACATTGTGAGGACACAGGCTACATCTGTTCAGCACAGCTGCTCTTCAGATTAAGTCACAGTATAGAACACCCAGGTTTAGGGACAAGTATCTTTATTGAGGACAGGAGAACTCACAGCTGATGCATTTCCTCCTACCAACTGCTGGTAAGCATATATACTGTCAGAAGGAGTAAAAGATCGTTTAACATGACAGTGTTGTTTATGACTACTTTTAAATTAAAGAATTAAAACACAAAGCACAAAGGTTTGTTTCGTGAAAATGGGTAACCAAATGCAAGTTTGTGCAGCTATTCTTGCCCACCAGCAGACAGGCCAAATATTAGACACAGCAGAATCTTTGAATTTCAACTGCAGAGACGAGAACAGTATATGTAACATTTTCTATACATCAAGAAGATCAATTCTGTAGCTATGGCTTCATCTAATGCAGTTTCCAGGGGCTTAGGAAAACTAAAAAAAATAGGGCCACTTACTTTGATCTCAGCCAGTGGGAATGGGAAAGAAAGAAAGACAGACATTCTTACATATTTAGTAAAAACAAAAGAGTCAAAATGCTGAAACTAAAGAAGTCCATAGAATCTCTAGAAAGGAATATTTCATTACTTCCTAAAACAACATCTCAACAGAGAAACATGAGATACTGCTAAGTGGATTAGCTGCAATACCAATCCTATTGAACAGAACAGGCCCTCTAACAACTTGCAATTTGCATTTCTCCATGGAGGACTGGTGATTAGTTTTGCATTAATTGCAGCAACCTGTGAACACTAGCAACCAGAATCACTTTTAGCATTACAATTCTTATTAGTTGTGTATATTTAAGGTGAACATATCAGTCAGACTAAGTTTTCCTACTATATTCATTCATACAGGATCTTCTGAAAGCTTGGACTAGTTTATGAAAGAGATCTGGAGATTAGCTGTAGTTTGTATTATCTGTCTTTAAAAAAGTGTCTGTACTCAGGGTTTGTGAGTCTCATAAACTGTGCTATGATCTGACCTTTTAATGTTCCCACTAGTCAAAAAGGAGACACTTAAATTCATTTAGAAGAGTAAAAATATTAAGAGTAAAATATTACCAGTAAGTTAATCACACAAACCCCAGGTATTTTAGAAAGTTCTATATACCTAAGGATTTTCTTATTTGAGCAAAGAGATTAACACATTCATAAGTAACCTTAAAATTTTACCAAGACTGTTGACTAAACTTCTTGTCTCTTTTCATATATTCATCTCCAGTTTTAGCAATATCTTTTGTACAAATAAACATCCAGACATGCACAAACACAGGATAAATTTCCAAGTTATTTTTCTGAATTGGTGTCCCTTTCTCTTCCACCCCAAAAAAACACCCCAAAAATTGTATTCACCATCTTTGTTAACGTAAATTATGTTTAGAATATGTCACATTTAACATAAAGAAAGTTTTTAATAAAGCTAAACTAACAAAGATCTTCAGTTTTCAGAGTTGAAAGATCAGTTTATTTTCTATCAAATTAAATGAATGACCAGTAAGATTGTAGGTGCACAAAATGCATTCTGTATTCTCTGCAGTAGGGAAAAGCCTGGCTTTGCCAGCAAGAGACCAAGTACTCTATTTTATGTAGGAAAAGATGGGATTTGCTTAGTTAATTTGGAAATAAAGTCAGTCAAAGAGTGGAAGCTTTCAAAATACAGAGAAGTACAACTTAGTGCTGCTTTCTCATAAAGCTGCAGAATGCAGGTCCCTTTCAGCTGTTAAAAGATTGAAGAATGACTTGGAGTAGACCAATAATGTCAGAAGAACAGGGAAGTGCACACTAGACAGCCATAAGAACTTCATTTGACTTGTATTGGCAATTGATTTAAATGGAATTGCAACTACCCATCAAGGTCAAGAATGCTTGCTTGGCATTAGGGACCTCCGTGTCAACTGTAAATGTACAACAGTCATCTATTTTTTACAAACATGTTCAAATCATTATAAATCATGTTTTAGAATGATTGTTTTAATGTCCAAGGTAATGTGATTTAACCGAACAGTAGTATTGCTAACTGAACAGTCTGCAATATAATCCTTGCTATACAAATTACTGCACAAAATAATAAAATACCTTTTATCATATACTGCACAGCTTAACCAAAAGAGACAGATCACATCAGGTACCTTCCATTTCAGCATAGCAAGGTTACTTTTAAGACAGCATTTTGATTTCAGGACAACAAGGTCTTGAAGTCTTGCTAACATTAATGCCTGAGCATTTGACAAATGCTAAACTAACACTTGAATAAATTCTAAAAGACTGACTCCAGGTCAAAGGCTCTGGAATATTCTGCAACATCTATAGTAGATTCTTCTCCCACTGAAGTCGAGGGCAACCTGTTTATTTGAATTTTGTATCCTTACAAAGAGCCCCCACTGTGACAATTGCAATTTTTCTATTTCTCCAACAAAATGTGTGCTTATGGTTCTCTAAAGAGAAACAAAAGCAAATCTCAGCTTTTGAGATCCTGACAATCAAGGGTCTTGATCTACAGAAATTAAGGGTATCCTCTAAACCTCATTTCTATACATATGTCTTAAAAAAAAATTACTCGCTACTTTCCAAGTTAACTATGTTCAGCTCATATACAGTGTTGCTTTACTTTTATTTCTGAGATAAATACATTTTGATGATAAAGAGCCATAAGGTTAAAATCAGAAAGAAAGAAGAAAGAGACTCACAGTGAATTACATTCCTCACAGGAATACTGTTTCTTCGGTTATTCTGCCTCATCCATAACTTTGGACACTGTAAAATCATAGAAGTCAGCTTAAAAACCATCAGAGTGTGACAAAGAAAAAAATAAAGTACTAATCAGAAGAAGTAAAAGACCAACTCTATGTCTTAGTGAAGTAATACTATTTGTATTGGCTGTGATAACCACTGGCACAGCCCAAATGGTATTCATGTGTTGCAATCTCTGTTTGGCTTCTGGTTTGTAATTCTCCATCTGCTTTTTAAATCTACTAACACATCATTCTGGAACTATAATTCAACATATATTTATATTTTTGTTTCGACGTTGCTATACTAGTTTATATTTAATATTTGTATTTCATGAGGTATTGAAAAAGTTGTCAAGGAACAACTGGTCAACAAATAAAACAAGTGAAATGTGAATATAAGGGTAAACTGGTCTAAATGTTCTGTCTTAGAATAAACATAAACCCCTAAATATTGAATAAATGACAAGCTTAAATTATCAACACATAACCTTATTTTTTGTTAAATTATCACTGCATTATTTCAACTATTACATAAGCTACCTTTAGTCAGTAATTGGGACTCCTTTAGCAGCAGTCAAAGGGTTTCCTTCAAATCCATTTTTAACTGTTACATAAACACATCGGTAACATTATTTTACTGCATTAGTTATGATAACTAGTTTTGAATGTTGTTTTTCCAACATCACTAAATTGAGTAACAGATACCTCGTTTGACTTCCAGACCAAACTTGCGCTAGTCTTGCAGAACAGCGGCAACAAAACCCACGCCCCAGGATCATTGTGTATTACTACACACCAACCAGCTTCCCAGCCAGAAGCTGATTCAAAGTTTGTAAAAAACAAATGCTTTTAACCTTTTCTTCTAGTGTCTCCTATTTTGACTAATTAGCTAATAATAATTTTGTAACCTAATAGTAATTGACAACATAGAAATGCCCAACAACCATAACCTGAAAACTGACATGAGCAGTATTATATCACCCAATATACTGGCTTTCATACAACTATTTCATTACCTGTGAGCTTCTTGGTAATGAATATGCTATTAAAAGGTTTTTTTTAATTTTCGTGTTTCTCATGTTGTAATTCTCCAATAAATTTCTCTGACTTCCAACATAAATAAGTTTCATTATTCCTCATTATTAAAAGAAACAAACACATTCTCCTTCACTGAAAGGGTGTCATATAATTAGATGACCTTCCTACATAAAATCATTAATGAAAAAGGACCTGACAACTTGCAGGAAAATATTTAATCAGACATCAGTTAGTCAAGACCCAAGATGTTACTGGACGAACAAATGCTTTCAGAAACAGTCTTTTACAATACCAGAGATCAAAACAGACTTTAGTTTTACTACATCATTAGACAAGTCCCAGCTTTCCAACAATTTATCACTGATTTCTTCATTTGGTTGCTTTAAACATGCTTTTAAAACATACTTGATAACTAGTAAAAATTGTATACAATGCAAATGACATTTCAGATAAGTTTTATTGACTTAATGCTCTGGTAATAAAATTATAACAATCAGTATTATTTTGATTTATTGCAAATTTTACTTTCCCCTTTAATGGACTTTGTGTCTGGCAGAATTGAATGTAATGCTGCTGCCACCTCAAGGTCACTACAGAAAAGTGTGATGGTTCATTTTGGTCTAATATATAAACAGTAACAAGATTCAATAACTAAAAATGAAGAGACTCCTTTGTTTTCATGCAGTTCAATGCTCACTGTATGCAGATTCCACATGTATATCTGCAGTGAAAACACAATTTTACTTCCCTATGTTCATGGAAGTGAACACAGGCACCTGGAGACCTGCATGCACACACTGCGCTAAGGGTTACAGAAAATAATCTTTCAGTGTCAAGGAATATTCATAAAGTGAGCCAAACTATGAGCTCCTAATTTTACACAAACTCATGAACAAGAATTTGACTCAGAAAATTTGAAAAGGGAATTTAAAATTTACAGGGTTTTGTTTGTTTGCTTGCTGCTTTTTTAGACTTTCAGGCGAAAATCACAGTAGGATGGAGAACTCCAGTTCCTGTTATGATTTTAATACATATTTTGAGGGAACAAGTGCACAAGTTCTGTAGCACAGACAGGAAAGTTGCATAGATTTTCTTATTTAAGGTTTTGGAGGCCAAATAAATATTTTAATGATGAAAAGTGGAAAATATATTTATTGGGTACTATGAAATAGCCGCAGTGTTGTCTGCTTGTAATGTAAGGATGCTCAGAAATTGTATGTTTGTACTCCTAAAGGTTTTATGGGGGCATAACAGAAGTGTTACACCATCATACACATCACAAATAGGTCAAAGGCTATATAAATTTTGCAAACTTTATCAAGGTTAGGTTCAGGTGCCTTCTATGCTAAAGTTCTCTGAAAAATGTCACACCCTAAAACTTCAATCTACTGCTTAAAAGCCACCTCAAGCACATATGTGCTTGATTTAAAAAACCCTACATAATCCCATTTGGCAAAAAACAGATTGAACTTTAAGTAAGAAAATGTCTGCAGGAAGAGATCAATCTATGGAACATAAGGGAAGTTGCCAGGACTAGCCAGAACATTTGCTGAAGAACACAATCAGGTTTAATGATATGAGAAGTACTCAAAAGCACTTGTTATTTTTTGATTAAAGTTACTCACGCTGAGCAGGAAACCTTAATAACTTTATTCTGGCCTATATTAGTAATGGCTACTGAAATTAAGTTATATGTATATACCACAGTGTCACACATGGCTGGATTTACAAATTTTTGGTATTATTTTATCCTTTGGGAGCTAGCATGTAGTACATAAGCCAGAAATTCTCTTGCACCAGAAATGAGTGCATTTTAGTCTACAATAACAGATTTAACAAGGAGGAAAAAGTAATTCCTTTTAACTACAAGTATTAAAAAAAAAAAAAAAATGCAATTAAATCAATTACAGGAATATTGACTGTATTAGAACCCCAGAGAGTCAAATTCTTTTTAATAGATCTGCTTTTATTTGTGAAATACTGATTTATGTGATGTAGGGTCTGATTCCAATTCTACTGCAACTTGCCATTCACAAATGAATTCTCTTGTATACGTAAAACACACACCAAGGACAGTCACTGGGGGAAAATGTAACTGTGATCAGAATGGATCTGCTATAACGCAACATTTCCCGTACAGTTAATTTCTCTTAAGAATGCAAAGGACATGTATTTTCACCAACTGTAACAAGAAAAAGAGCGGTAGTTTGCTGTCATCATTGTAGGAGTCTTTGTGCATAAGATTCCCCTTGCTACAACTGCCAGTAACAAATCACATTCTACACTCCTTTAACTGAATTACATATCTAAGAAAGCACTGCTTGGAGTAAGAACTTGCAAAAATAGCACTATCTATGCAAAGTAATAAAAAGGGAAAATAATAATAGACATTAAAATATAGTACATCATGTGGCAAGTCTCTAGGAACTGCCTTGATGTTTTCTGTAGAGTTAAATCTGTCTTTATTCAAAGTGGAGTTTCCCCGTGGCAAATTCAGCAGTAAAAAACAACCCAAACTCTCATGATTCTCACTAATTTAAAACACATGAGTCCTTAGTACACAGACCACACCATCTTTACATTAATAAAGACACAGAAAAGTGCATATTACAAGGGCTAGGAGAAGCCCTGAGTCTTTGGAAGACAATGGTGAAACACCTTTTAAGAATGAAAGCTACTGATTTATCATTCACAAAAAAAGAAGAAAAAGATGGCAGTAAGGTCCAGTTGTCACCTAACAGAGGGCATATCATTCCTACAACCGTAGAGAACAGTAAACTGGTAAAGGGACAGGCTAGCCAGAAAGCTAGATCCCATTGACTCTCAGAGGCTTTCACTACCCTAGATCACTGCAGAATCCAGTCCAAAGAATCGACAAATTCTAGCTCATCCCCTAACAATTTTCCCTGAAGTGCCCTGGTTTCAGAGGATCCAGTGCTCTTGATTCCATATTTTGCCTCAATATATGAATGAGTATGTCATGGTTCAGCTATTTTTTAAATGTGTTTTTTCGAAGGCAGAAGAAAACTGGTGTTTGAAACATTTGAAGTCATAACGCATCCTACTACCTTCAGTCACTGCTGCAAACCCACTCCTTTGCAAAACAGAATCATAAAATGTCAGTGTTATACTGATATAGGCTAAAATAGACATTAAGAATCATTACTTATTTCTGAGAATGTTGTAAATTTTTCTTTCCTGTTTCTTCCTTCCTCCACTCCCATTCACATTCAGCTACCACTCAGATTTATCCTCAGCTGCTTTACACTCACTGCAGACCTTCCATTGAGAGGCAGATATGCCCACTGTGATACTTGGACCAAGTCCATAAAAATAATCTACTAACATACTAATAGGAGTTAGGGATGTAATCTTTTTACATTTTTGTGTAAGACTTAACACAGAATGTCATTATAACTATGTTTTGCCAGTATCACAGCCAGAAATAAGCTTTCACTTACTTCACAGATGAAACCAGCAAATACAGCAATTGTAAAAAGAATTGCTGTGCCAGTAGAATGTCTGCACGTTATCTATGTTCCCGTTGGCATAGTTGTATCAGCACACCTTTAGTTATTGTAGAGAACATTTCAGTACCTTAATTTGAGCCAAGGTGAAGCTTTCCTTAATGTCTCACTATTTTCAGCTCACCTGGTTGTAGTTTCTTTCTCTTACATACCTACCAGAAAAGGTATGAAGGAAGTTGGTTTACCCTCAATTCTACTCTTAGTGTATCATCAGCAATCTCATGTCAGGTGATTTCTCACATTCTCTTAAACTGAGTGCCTCCTAACAGCTGACTGACAGGTCCTATGAAAATACACCTCTAAGTTTTACATTTTACAAAACTTAACTTTAAGGTTTAATCTTACTGACTTGAGCAACACTCTCCCAAAACAACAAATATGACTCAAAAATTTTAAGGAACTATTAAGGAAAAAGATGAGCCTTTCCCTATTTCTTACAGTCAAGGGTTCCTTTTCA